ACGACTCTCTTCAGAGGAGAGTGGTCATGCCACATCTGGGTTTTAGCTTATTCAAATGGGTCTGCACATGCTGTTGTGGTTTTTTGGGAGGATAACTGAGTCAGCTCTTCCCGTGTCTGGAATCTCGAGTCTGTGCAAAGCCACTGTGTTACTGAAAGGCCCTCCTGGCTTTGACTGTTCCTTCTTCTAGCATGGCTCAGTTCCAGAAATCTCTCCCCCTTTTTAAAAAGTAAACCAACGAAATTAAAATCCCCATCGCAATCTCGTTACAAAGTTTTCATCATCTACATTTCAATTGAAAGGATATAGGAAGAATTATTTTTGCATGGTGTCATTACCAGAACAAAAGTCTTTTCTGCGTGCTTTTTCCTCCTGTAGTTGGAGATGGCAGGCAGGGATACCCCGAAGAGGCTCCTTATGATGCCATTCACGTCGGAGCGGCAGCAGCAACCGTACCGAAGGAGGTACGAGTGATTGCGCTGGGTGTCTGTTGCTGTGGGCTGCCTGCAGCGGTAGCTGTGAAAAAGCTAATAATTGGGGAACCACTGGAAGCTTCTCTTTCTGTCCATTTTATATGACGCTGGCAAGTTTGTGCTTTTCAAGGTGTCATGGCCTTGAAATGTGCCACAACGTGGCTTATTTCTGTTGCCTCTTTTATTTTTGTGGCTCTGCTGATTCTCCTTTCTCTGCTTGCCAGTTGCTGAATGAACTGAAGCCAGGAGGACGGTTAATATTGCCTCTTGGTCCCGAAGGCGCAAACCAAGTTCTGATGCAGTACGACAAAACCAGCGACGGGCAGATCATCGAAACGCAACTGATGGGCGTGATCTATGTTCCTCTGACAGATAAGGAAAAGCAGTGGCCTCGGTAAAAATTTGCTCTCCCTCGAGGAACGTTTCTTCCTCACAGCTGTCCCTGTGAGCTTGCTCTCCTTGACTGCTGGCTTTACTGATAAGAGTCCCGGATTCCTAGCAGATGCCGGCTGTTTAAAAGAAAAAAAAAAGAGAGAGAGAAGAAAGAGGCTTGGCTGTGGTAAGGCAGAGCAGGAGAGCAGGATGTATTTTCTGTTAGATAGGGCTTGCAGACTGAGGACTCAAGCTTTTTTTTTTTTTCTTTTTTTCGGAGCCTGTGCACTTCCATAAACACCGTAGCCGTGTTGGTTCTGTCACTGAGCTGAAGGCCACGAATAGTAACTGTTGGTTTTTCTTTGCCTCAGGGATGAATTCTGACAGATGGATCTCTCTAAAGTGACCTCAGAAAGCTCATGAATGGGACTTTTGACTGTAGATGGTCTGTATGGCTGCTGTTTGAATGGAGGCTTTATCAGTGGACGTGCCTGCGAAGGCAAGCTCTGCTTCGGCGGAGCTTGTTCCGGAGGGATGGAGAACAGGGTGCTTCCCCAGCAGCAGGAGCAGGGCCAGGCTCTCGGAGGCCAGGGCTGGTTCCAGGCAGTGAGTGGATCCAGATAGTGCGGCTGTCCTCTCGAAGCTGTAGATAACACCTATTCACAGAGAATTCCAGAAGCAGACAGGGTGCCTGCGAAGGCAAGCTCTGCTTCGGCGGAGCTTGTTCCGGAGGGATGGAGAACAGGGTGCTTCCCCAGCAGCAGGAGCAGGGCCAGGCTCTCGGAGGCCAGGGCTGGTTCCAGGCAGTGAGTGGATCCAGATAGTGCGGCTGTCCTCTCGAAGCTGTAGATAACACCTATTCACAGAGAATTCCAGAAGCAGACAGGAACGCTTAACCCTCCACTAAAAATACTCTTTGACTACCCTGCCTAATGCTTGAAGAAAATTACTTTTCAGAGCAGCGACCTACCCTGATTTGTCAAAGTGTCAGCATGAGAGCGCGTTGTTTTCCTCTCGCAGCAACTAATTTAATCTCTGGGGGCAACACTGACAATTTTGGGGTTGAGAGAAAAAAACCAAACCGGTCTCTTGGCTTTTCCCTGATGCGCCCGCCCTTCTCCCGCGGCCCCTTGAGCACACGGGGGGCTGAAGCGGGAGGCTTGAGAGCGGCGGGT